TCCATCCATACATCCATCTACCTACCCATCTACTCATCCATCCACCCATCCATCATCCTGTCTCCCCAGTCACTTGCCTGTCTGTTGATCCATCTATCCACTTGCTGGTTTGCCCAGTGATGAGTGAGCCCATTGTTCTATAGACACATTCAGCTACCATTCATCCATCCGCTGCTCTCCCCACTGGTCCTTAAAACACCACACCGAAACCGCTGCCATTGAGTTGATTCCATGTAGCACAGAGGGCTGACCCACAGCATTCCCAAGATTTTAAATCTTTACCAGAGCAGCCTGGCACATCTTTCCCCACAGAGCAGCTGGTGAGTTTGAACTGCCAACCATGGGGTTAGCAGCCACGCACTTAACCATGGTGCTACCAGGACGCACGCCTTCAGTACAGCCACTCATTGTAACCATCCTTCTAGCTGTCTGTAGGTCTGTCTGCTGGGCCAAGCTGAACACACCCATTTGTTGGTCTTTCTGTTACTCCACTGCTTTAGTCATCCATCCATCCATCCACCCCCCACTCATTCGACCATCTGACTGACAAACAACACTTACAGAATATCCAGCAGTAACCAGGTGAGGCAGGGTGAGGGTACAGGAATAAAGGCAGCAGCTGTGGTCCCTGCCCTCCATGGGTTTACCTGTCACTACAGGGGCATGACAGCTGGCTTGTTCTCACCCAAAGCCTGAGAGCAGCGGTTCTCAACCTTCCTCATGCCGTGACCCTTTCATACAGTTCCTCATGCTGTGGTGAACCCCAACCATAAAATTATTTTCGTTGCTACTTCATCACTGTCATTTTGCTACTGTGATGAATTGGGCGACCCCTGTGAAAGGGTTGTTCAACCCCCAAAGGGGTCGTGACCCACACAATGAGAACCACTGCCTTAGATTTATCAATTCTGATTCCCAGTGAGCTTCTATAGCATTTCTGAGACTGGAGATCTTTATGGGAGCAGACAGCCTCACCTTGCAAAGAGATTAGGATTCAGGTTACCAGTCTCACACTTAACCCATGCAACACGAACAAGTAGGGAGGTCAAAGGCTGTAGGGTGGAGGCAAGCAGGGAAGGCTCCCTGGAGGTGGTGTTCTGCTCCATGAAGGTGGGCTGCCAGGCAGGGCCACGGGAAAACAAGGGGAGGGGCCTGTGGAAGGCCCCTCTGGGCTCAGGGCCACCCTCTGTCACAGGGGTGCCTTGTGGCACGTTCACCTTCCAGTGTGAGGACCGGAGCTGTGTGAAGAAGCCCAACCCAGAGTGTGACGGGCAGCCGGATTGCAGGGATGGCTCGGACGAGAAGGACTGTGGTGAGCTGGCCCTGGGACCCTCACCTGGCTGGCTGGCCCCACCTGTCTGCTGGCCCCTTCACCTGCCCCGGGGCTCTCCCCAGCTGACTGCCCCTCACCTGTCATTGGCATTTCCACCTGCCACCCTAGCCTCTTTGCCCAGCCAACTGGCCCCCATCTGTCTGCCCGCCCCTCCAGCTGCTACCTCCACCCCTTCATCTGGCCAGCTGCCCTCCACCTGTACCTGCTGGCCCTCAGCCCAGCCCCACTGCCCCCGGGCCGGGAGCAGGGTAGGGCCTGCCCTCCACCTGCATGAAGCGAAATCATACCATTGTCTGTTTGTCCCTCTGTCCTGTATCTTTCTCTGACCCCACGGCACCCCCTTGCCTCCCTGCTTCTTCATTCTGTTTTTCTCCATCTCTCCCTTCTCTCTCTCCTCATCCGTTTCTGTGCCCCCCTGTTCTCACTGCCCTCCTTGTCCCCATCTCCCAAATCAGACTGTGGCCTCCAGGGCCCCTCCAGCCGCATCGTGGGTGGCGCTGTGTCCTCAGAGGGCGAGTGGCCATGGCAGGCCAGCCTCCAGGTGAAGGGCCAGCACATCTGTGGGGGGGCCCTCATCGCCGACCGCTGGGTGATCACGGCTGCCCACTGCTTCCAGGAGGACAGGTGAGGGTGGGGAGTGGGTGTGGCAGGGAGGCTCTGAGCAGACCACAGGCTGTGGTGTAGAGGAGGGGCGGCAGGAGGCCCCCACGTTAGCTGCTGTCACACGTGGACCCACCACAGACCCACTCTGGGTCCTGGCTGGGCCCCCTGCTGGGGGCCAAGCCCCTCTTTCAGGCTAGCTCTGGGAAGCAGTCATTCCTCTCACTTGTCTGTTCAGCACAGTGGTTCTCAACCTGTGGGTCTCGACCCCTTTGGGGGTCAAACGATCCTTTCACAGGGATCGCCCAATTCATCCACAGTAGCAAAATGACAGTGATGAAGTAGCAATGAAAATACTTTTATGGTGGGGAGGGGGTCACCACCACATGAGGAACTGAATGACAGGGTCACCGCACTAGGAAGGTTGAGAACCACTGGTCCAGCAGGATCCGCTGGGCTCTCCCTGGGCACCAAGTCTGACTAGGGGCTGGGGACACCGGAGAGAATAAGAGGCTACAAGGCTCCTGCCTGTCCTGGGTGTGGCTGAGGAGCCCTGAAATGGGGGCACCCCTTGCTATCCCTGGGCCATCTGCCCCATTGACCTGGCGGGCTGACATCAACATGGCACCCATCCCAGACAGACCTTGGGGCGCCCAGGCCCCTCCCTCAGCACTGCCAGTCCTAGACCCTTCCTCTCCTCTCTCCTCCTCCGGCTTGGGTCCAGGTCAGGAGGACTCTCCTCCTCCCCTGGCACCCTGCTCCTTCTCAGTCTCTGCCTGGCCCTGTAGCCACCAGCACTGTCCACTCAGACCCCGCTCCCTTTTGCATCCTCTGCCGGGGTGCCATCTAACTATGTCACACTGTACCATCCCCACCCTGGCTCCCCAATGTCCCCCCTGGGACAGTGGAAGCAACTCTGCTTCCACTCAGGCCCACCGCTCCCCATGGGGCTGACAGGTGTCCATGGGCCAGGACAGGCCATGCGGGCAGTGGGCAGGGAAGGAGTGCTGAGCTAGGTACCTTTGTTCTATGTTGTTGCTGTGTTGGGGTTTGTGGTGGTGGTGGTGATTCTAGCTTTCAGAGCCCTTGGGTTAGAACTGCCCTTGGGGGTCCTGGGCTACAGGACCCCCTTGTGTTTCTAGAGAGCAGATCGCCTGGTCTTTCCCCTCAAGCAGCCACTGAAGGGTTTAAACCCGTTTTCCCCTTGGCTGGGGAGCACCTCCGCTGCTGCTCTACCAGGGCTCTGTGGTGCTCTGTGGGAATGACCCCAGGAACCCGAGTACAAACTGCACATCCTATCTCAGAGGAGACGGAGGCCTAGGGGCCCGCTTC